GAGAAGAACAATGTCATCCCCTCATGATTTGCACTTTCATCTTAAACAGGTGACACCAAATTTACCAGCTTAGTCGTTTCAAGAACACATTTTTTTTAGATTAGTCGACTCCTCATAGTTCTATTTGGCCTTTTAAATTTTTCAATTGCTAACACAGAAAGGTTCATTATCAGCTTCCTTTTCACACTGGAAACACTCAGCACAAACCGCAGAGACAAGGCGCTGGGCTGGAGCTACACCACAACTCTAAACTACTAGTGACCTCACAGGCACCCAGCATGCTATACAGGCTCAAGTGCTGTGTGACAAATGCCAAGGAATCCACATTCAGTCCCAGTGGCAATTGTCACACTCTGCTAATAACACAGCCCAAACTCAAGCTGGCCTCTGACTCTCCCTGTTCTCAGTGGGTTCCTGTACCATTTAAGTCACTCAGGAGCCCAGTTTCTTGGAGTCTCGGTTTAGTGCAATAAGCAACAGTAGCTCAAAGTACCTTCTTAATAGTGCACCGCAACAGAAAGGGAATAAAACATCTACTTTGTTTATAAAATCATGACAATGTTCATGGAAATTACTGCTACACTTGAGGGACAAGATGTTTGAGACGGCTCATTTTATTTCTGAAGTCTGAGGCAGCAGTGATAAAATTCAATCTGGGATCGACCTTGGGAATTTGCAAACGAAACAAAACACTTGGCTCTCAAAAGACATTTGGAATCGACCGGTTTCCGTGGATTTTATTTCATCCCCTGTTTTGGATTTGCCAGCTGCTTGGATCCCGGCTTTACAGCAACAGCTCCTGGACCACATGTGGGGAGAACAAGGACCTGCAGGCTGCTCTGCTGACATTCCCACCTCTCAGAGGCATTCGGTGTCTGACACACTGCCAGCTCCTCATCATCTTTCAGAAGAGCTAGCGGCAACTGGAGAGGTAGTGCACCTTTCATTACTGTTGCTGTGAGCTTATAGGCACCTACAGTAAAAAATTCCAGGAGCTGCTGCTGTACCACAGAACTAAAAGATCCCTGAAATCTAACCATGAAGGCTTTTAGCCAATGGCATGTCACCTCCTGGAGAATCCTGGTCAGAGCTAGTTTATGACATAGCCCAGGTTCCAATATACAGTATATACAGTACCTTTCAACCTGAACTCTAACTGAGCATCTTTATTGACTGAGAAACCCAGAGGGTCCTGGATTCTGTTATGAGTAGACAGTATTGGTACAGTATGTATGAGTTATGTCCAATGAGACATTGTGTGATGTGAAACTAGGATTAAAAGACACGAATCTCGCAGGCCAGTGCAAGACCCAAGGAAAGTGGAGGAGGCATTTCTACTCACTAACAAAGTTTTCTGATTTTCTTTAAATTACCGTCATGTGTCCAAACTGTAAACAGAGTCAAAGCGGTCACGACAGATCTAAACTTTAAAGGCACCAAGCTTCAAGAAAACAGGGCAAATGTAAAAATCAAAGCTTTTACAAAATAATTGGCAACTTTCAAAACATTCTGCTTTGTAGCAAAAATGTTCTACCCCACATCATGAGAGTAATTCTTTAAATTACTCCCATGAAGTAAAAAGTTTATAAGAAGTTTAAATGCGCAAGGTATGACACTGTAGGTAAGGATACTGTAAGTCAATTAATAATTAATTTATCTTATTTAAACTTGGTTGTGGAAAATGAACTGAAACTCATTTGCGGAAAACTTGTTCCATCTAGTTAATTTACTGCCACACAAATGATTCAGTTAATGTTGAATTTCTATTTTTATCTCTACCAAAGGATCAGCAATTCGATGAAAAAAAGAAAAATTACTTGTTACCATTCTGGACTAGGTTCATTAAATTCCTATCTGAGGACACGATCTGAACCAGAAAACATTCATTAACAATGGCACAACCACTGAGCTGACCAAGAGCACATCTCATCCCACCAAGGTTCATTTCCGAGATCTTGCATTTCAGTTGTTCCTAATCACGAACGGGGAACACAGTGGCACAGTGGTTAGCATTACTGCCTTGCGGTGCTGGAGACCTGGTTTCAATTCGGGACCTGGGGCGGGGAACAGTTTGTATGTTCTCTGTGGTCTTTTGAGTTTCTTCCAGGTGCTCTAAAATTTCCCCCACAGTCCTAAGACACACTTGGTAGAAAATAATTGTCTTCTGAGAAATTTTCCCCTGGTGCGAGTGTCTGGCTCCACCAAGACTATAAATTGGATAAATGGGGTTAGAAAATGGATGGATAATTACATACTGTAGATATCTCAATCCACATTGTTCTGAAGCATAAAAACCTTACATATTAGCAAACATTGTTTTTTTTTAATTTCGCCAATGTGGACTCGCAACATAGGTTTTGGTCCTTCATAGGCAAAATATACAGTATAAATACTGCATATCCTATACATGTTTTCAGCAACATCAAACATCTTATTCCTGATATACTATACAGTATCTCCACATGTTCTTTCTAGCTCTTTACTCCTATACAAAGGAACTTAGATTAGATACAGTAGCTTAACATAAATTCTGTAACAATTTCTATATTTCCTCTTTTCAACCCCAAAATGTCTTTTAATCAAACTGCTGTCTATTTAACATCCAGTCTGTATATGCTAAATTGATATGCACAATAAGGAATGTCAGCTCTGTCATGTTTTTGCAAAGAAAGCACAAATTGCCTTTTTTTATCTCCTCAGAAAAATATGCTATACTTATACATGCCGATGTTAGGACAGCATGTTAACATTGCAGAGACTGAAGATGAAAATGAACTATTGTTGTAACATTGCTCTGAAGGTGCTGGCCTCATAAGATCCAAAATATTACAAAATTAAGGTCAGGGCCTATACAGCAGAAAAATCAGTAAGATTTGATCACACCTTATTAGGTACACAGAACAAAATAGTGTTTCATTAGTACCTTTTATAATTTACTTGTGCTCAGTTTTAAGTAGTAGTATCTATAGTTAAGACACCATTATGTAACATGTAGTTCATGTGTCTGTATCATTACAATTAAACATTCATGTGTCATTACTAAATAATTCAGCTGACATTTACGAATTTTAAAACACTGAGGTATACAACGCTATATGTCATGTAAGCTATAGCAGAGATTTGGAATTAAACTGACAAACTTCAGTCAAATGAATGACTTTATTCAGACATTATGCTGATTTTTTTTTAAAAAAACCGACATTAGTACTGTGGTTCCAGAGAAAATGATGTCAGTAAACTTCACCTTCATGACTGTTATATGACTTTTTATCAAATAAATTCTTTCCTAAGCAGGGTATCAAATACACATTTTACACACCACTCCAGGACACCCTGCTCCATTTTTTGGGGGAATTGGGACACAACCCAACCCAAGACTTATGTACTGTATCTGTTTGAACTGATTCAAAATGATTCATTCATCAATTCATCCTCGTCAAGTGAGGCTAAAATATCCATCAATTCAGACAGCGCAGACATGGGATGCATAGACCCAACAAGGCATTGCTTTGAAATGCAGATTTTGCCCACCTTGAAAACCAACTCCATTTGTAACTCTATATTCAGGTCTGACATCTCAAAGTAGTTTAAAATACAGTATCCGGAAAGGCGAAACATTTATGCTTGCATTTTATACGGGTACCTTCCAGTAGTGAGTAAACACTGAAAATGGGAAAGTAAAATAAAACACAAAATGAAAGAGCGTTTCTTAGCTATAACTACACAATGGATTTTTTACCACCATTGCAAGGCAAGAAAAAAATTGTTTTTACTGTCAAAGCCTGAAACCACTGCCCTATAAAGCATGTATTTTCTCTCCTGCTCAAGAAACAAAATGGAAAACATTGCATTATAATGCATGAAAAGATAACACATGGAACACTAAAAGGTGCTAAAGGTTAATGAGGAATTGATAAGCTGAGCCTTTGCATTTAACAAGCTTGTTGCAAAAGGACAATGTACTTATATCCTCGCCTAGTAAAAATGGAACAAATCAATAGAGCAGTGTTTCTCTTAGACACATGCTATCTTAAACACACAGATGTTCAGCTAAGCCTTCTGGTTTTCTCCATCTCATTGCACACCAGCACAGCTGACTGTCCTTTCTATTTTTTCAAGCAATGTACGCTATTGACTGCAGCAATACCTTGTTTTCCTGACAAATACAAACACTGCATTATTTCCGTTGTGAGAACCCCTTGCTAATTGGCTTGCCTGCGACAGTTTCAAAAGCCATTTAATAGGGTACGCAAAAATGGAGAGCTCTGAACACTGTGAAACCATGGCATAAAAACTGCAGCTTTTGGAGGACTCCATCTCAGTTTTGATTAGGTGCATTTATCAAATCGAGTGATTAAGCAAAGAACGAGAATGCCATGCTGTGATCTTTCCAAATAAACACAAAGTCACATGTTTAAGAGCTGGTTCTTATTGTAACCATCCAACCACATTTTCGAACCACATTATCTCATACAGGGTGACTGTGGTTCAGAGCCTATCCCATCAATCAATGGGCGCAAAGTAGGGTAAACCTTTGATGAGATACCAGTCCGTCGCAGGGCACACATGGACTCGAACGTGCCCACACTTACAACCGGGCCAATTTTTCCAGTAGCCAATTAACCTACCAGTACGTTCTTAGATTGTGGGAGAAAACCGGAGCACTCAGACAAACCTACATGAACACAGGGAGAACACAGAAACTTCATGCAGATGTGAAACTGAACCCAGGGCCCCAGCACTGCGAGGCAGCAATGCTAATCACTGCGTCACAATGCCATCCTCTTAACATGCTACCTTGATTTTATTTTCTGATGTGCATCGACATCATAGCAAGATTTATTTATATAAAAATTCATATATACAGTATATATCCCTACAGTTTGCCTTCGGAATACAAAATTAAACAATCAACATTTCCATTATTGCATTTTGCCAATAAGCAATTCTCCAACCTGTCTACTTTTCTGAATACATAAATACTCAGCACTCCACCTTACCCAATACATCCATTGGCACAGCCAGGTCTAGGAGTAATCAGCCCTCACTGCAATGCACATACTCCATGTCTTTTCTATGGTTGCTACTTGGCCCCACAAGTCCAGGATATTTAGATGGGAGAGGTATTTAATGTATATCCTAAAACAGAAGAAAATTGCAAACTGAGCATTAAACCTTTGTTAAACTAATAGTCGTTGTATATCAGGAGGGGTCAATGACAATAATAACAATATCAGATGACAACACAAAAAGTGTTTTTTCCAAAATCCAAAACATATACCTTTGACTACCCTAACACAGTATTTGAAATCATCATCCTAATTTGTGCATACTTGCCTTTTCCTAATAATACTGATGATCACTGCCCCAAGCTTCTTGCAACAGTGAGGGAAAGTATTTTTGATCACAAAGACAAAACAAAGTAAACTGAAAACATAAATAAGTTAAAAATAAAAAGGAGGGCTTTGAATGCCTTAAAGGACTGCTGTATTGTAATTTCTTTATTCTGTTGTTTATTTTCTCTTCTCAAAAGAAACAAATAAAAACATTTGTATTGTCAGGATACCTCTTGGTAATACAGTAACAACATCTTCTTTGATTTCATGTTTAATGTTCAAATTGCACGTTGTGATTACTTTCAATTTAGAAGCAAATTATAATCGCTGAAGTATCCTGGAACTACCTGTATCCTGTATCCTGGAAGGACAAAAAGCGAGGGAAAAGAATCGTGTACACTCTTTGAATGAGTGTTCAGCGTGTGATCACCAACATATAATAGGACCAACTATATACAGTACACTATTGAAAAATGGCATAAGCATGAGATCTTTCAGAGTATTTTTGGTTTGTTTTAAATGTGAGGTTGCCAATTGGTTTTATACCCTCCCTAATTGCAGTTCACTAGGTGTTAATTAATTATGTTCACCATTACTAATCTTGTACCAGCACTGATGTGATGAAGACAATATGCACACACATACTTGTTTTCAGCTGGCAAACCCACAGCACAAACAGCACAGACGGTGCATCAGAAGGTGCACACAATGTGGCTCTCCCTAATCACAGAGCAAGCTCACAGGTGTTCAGTTAGCCACAGGGGGTTGGGAGAAAATAAGTTAAGGACTGTTGACTAAGGACTGACCTAAGAGGATACTAGGGCAATTGTGATTTCACTTCAAGGGGTCCTGAACACTATCAGTTAAAAGGGAAGTGCAACTCTAATTTTACATTTATATCAAGGTTAGAATAAATCAGCATGGATAAGTGCATTTCAAACCAGAATAACAATAAAATGTACACAGTAACTTGTAAAACCTCCAATTTACATCTCAAAGTAAACAAAATCTCCATTTATGTGCAGCGTCATGTACTGTGATTCAAAAGGGGCAACAAAAGTAAGGCAGTCCTATTACATTGTAAACAAGCAGGCTTGTGAATACATCTTTTAATCCAATAGAAATATTGCTATCAATTTTCTAGATGGTTTTGCCAACAAATACTACTAATTTGTTAGCTGCATGCAGATCACATTGGAAGATTTCTACAGCAAAATGCCTGCTGCATAAATCTGAATTTATTCACTTGTACATAACATTACATTAGTCATTACAGCAACTAGTGAGCAGGAAGGGCTGCCTTATATCACAATGACGACATGGCGGCTTACAGTACTTTCACAAAGTTTACAATTTTGTGTTTAATTTGAAATTTGCCAAATTTTTCTAGGAAGTCAGCGAATTTATTTTGTTACCGAGATTTCATAACTGGTCTGAGAAATGCGGAATGCAGTTCCCCTATTTAGCATGTCTTATTGAGCTACTCAACTGTATGTGACAGCTGAAGCACACTTTTTTTTTAATCACTAATTATTCAATCAGCCTCACCTACAACTACTACTCTTCTACTGCAGGAGGAGAATGAGGACCAGTGCATGCCTTCCTGATTATCATAAAATTACATTTGCCATTTTATTAGAATATGACCACACCAAAAACATATTGCCCAGAAATCACAAACAAAATTCCAATAATTAAAGATTTGTATGTCAGGACTCAAATTTCAACAATTTTAATAGTCCAAAGACTGCATTTAGCACTGTTAGCTTTAACTGTTTTTATGTTGTTAAGATGCAACTGGAATACAGCAGGACATCAGTAGGATTTGATCACATCTTATCAGAGGGTAAGAATAAAGATACGGTTTTTATAACAAGCAATACTGCTGTTTTTATACCAACTAGAAATTATGCAATTTTCTTTAAATCATAAAGTGATGGAGTAAGGGATATTAAATATACACTCTGCTTAACTGCTTGCTTGATATTTTTAAAGCATTTTTTGCACTTGCTAGCTAAAGGGGATAAACAATGTGAATCCCTGGCTCCTGAAATAAGCAAAACATTTTCCAACTCTTATTCACTGCTTATAGCAACGTTCCACAGTGCTCTGCAAAATGTTTCTACCTGCTCCACTATTTCAGAACATTAGAAAAGTTACAAACCAGAGGGGGTCATTCGACCCATCTAGCCCATTTGGCAGTTAGTAGTTAACTGATCAAAGAATGTCATCTAACCATTTCTTAAAAGAAATCAGTGTCAGGCTTCAACAATATGGCAAGGTAGCTTGTTTCACACTCCTACCACCCTTTGGGTAAGGATGTTCCTCCTGTTCTCTGTTTGGAAGTGCCACTTCTAGTGAGTCCTGCATTTAACAGGCTACTGCTCCCTACCAACCCTGAACAACAGACCTCTGCACTCCTTTGTCTCCACTCCAGGTTTTTTTTTTTAACAATCCGTTTAGCAGAAAACACAATAAATGGAACACAAAACAGCAACGCAGGTTATTAGGTTCCTACAAATTGTGTGTGCTCCTACCAAATGTGGCCATTAGGTCTGTACTGAAGACATTTAGTTAAAAACCGCTTAACATGGTCAGCTGTCCATGCCTGGCTTTGGCACTGAATGTAGCAACTATGAGCAGCAGCCAGTAAGGTCAATGTCTTTTGCCTTAGTTGAAACTATGGGGCAAAAAATCTCAATTTAAGTGCTCACCTCCTATATTTCTTCCATATTCAGTGAAAATAATCTGCTTTAAAACTAATATACTCACATTTCATCCATTATCCATTTTCTAAATACTTCATCCAATTCAGGATCATGGGAGAGCCTGAGCCTATCTTAGAAAGTAACAGCCACAAGGCAGGCTACAATCTATATCGGATGCCAGTCCACTGCAAGGCAGACACAGGTACAAACACAGACATGCATATACACACACATCTAGGGCCAATTAATCTACCAGTATGTCGTTGGAATGTTCATTTAGCTGACTGTTGTGACTATTGATAACTACATAAAAATTTTTTAAAAGTTTATTATCTCCCATTTCAATTGGATGCTGCTTCTCACATAACTACAGGATGTAATGGACTACAGGTTGCAAAACATGACTCTGGACCATTTTTCAGTTTAAACAGCAATTGAAAACTGCACAAAAGTCAGACTGCATTAAATATATGACACATAATAATAATTAATAATTGCTAACACTTATGTAGCACTTTTCTGGACACTCCATCCACCACCACCAATGTACAGCCCCACCTGGATGATGTGACGGCAGCCATAGTGCGCCAGAACGCTCACTACACATCAGCTATCAGTGGGGAGGAGAGCAGAGTAATGAAGCCAACTCATAGATGGGGATTATTAGGAGGCCATGATTGGTAAGGGCCAATGGGAAATTTGGTCAGGATGCCAGGGTTACACCCCTACTCTTTTCGAGAAACGCCCTGGGATTTTTAATGACCACAGAGAGTCAGGACCTCGGTTTTATGTCTCATCTGAAGGATGGCGGGGTTTTTTTTTACAGTATAGTGTCTTTACTATACTATACTTTACTATACTGGGTGCAGGGTGAGTGCCCCCTGCCAGCCCCACTTACAGTTCTTCCAGCAGTAACCTTAGTTTTTCCCAGGAGGTCTCCCATCCATGTACTGACCAGGCTCACACCGGCTTCAGTTGGTTGCCAGTTGTGAGTTGCAGAGTGATATGGCTACTGGCCACATCTTTTTTTTATATCAGTAACTCCATTTTACACTTGCTATATACTTGTAAATTTCTATAAGTCAAAAGAAAAGAGATTAAAGAATTCTGATTGGGTTAATTCCTGGCCTCAAGGAAAAACTGTACACAGGTTAGTCTAACTGAATCCCTTCGGTTGTGAAAAGAGTAGCTTATAAGGAGTTTTTATGCAAAATCCTAAAAGATCGACAAAAGCAACATGAAGGACTACACAAATGGCTCAGGGATCTGTCAGGAATCAGCTTGATGGGATCAATAAGCTGCTAGCTACAAGATCAATAAGGTACTAGCAAGCAAATGAGCAAGATGGGACATTTGGCCTCCTCTTGTTTGTACCTTTCTTATGTACTTAAAACACAGGAAAAAATAGTATCACTAATAGTTTTAACAAGATGTTTTTTCTCTGCATCTTGATAGGCCTTTGTATAGCAAATCATAAACATGGTAATATGTTGAAAAACGCTTCCAGGTCAGAATGAAATTCTACTTAAACCAATCTGTAAGTGAGTATTCTAAAGAATTAATTAAACTATGGTATCCCCTGTGGTTTAAAAAAATGCTCACATTTTTAGAAGGATTACCATGAACAGTCATGAACTGTTTTCTAATGAACCCAAGAATCATTTTAATTCCGCCATAATTAACCGTCTGTAACTTAAAAAATCAGTTTTTGCAGGTTGCTCCTGGACAGCCACCTTATGATGTGGCTGGCCTTGAAAACAACAGTGGGACTGTGAAAAATTCTTCATCTCTTTGTATGAATTTTGAACTCTTACCCCAATTTTAAGAGAATTCCAAAACTCAAGGATTTATTCAAAAACACAAGGAAACATGTTTAGTGGTTGTGGAAGCAGACAGTAAAGCAATAAATACTTTTAAAACTGTATAAAATGATTTTACTCTGAACCTACAGTACAGTATATTTGAGGAGGAGGTTAAAATGATTGACTGAGGTGATCAACACATAAAACTGATGCTCAACTACAAAACTCAGAATTGATTAATCAGCACTAGGGGAAAGAAAAAAAAAACAATCCTAATCATATTACATTCTCAT